CATGCGATTACATGCAGGTCTGCCTAAGACATTTTGGGCGGATGCGGTACATACAGCAGCTTACCTTATTAATCACGGGCCATCAGTTCCATTAGATTTTGGGATTCCAGAGGAGGTTTGGAGTGGAAAGAAGATAAATCTCTCACACTTGCGGGTATTTGGTTGCGTGGCTTATGTTCATATCAGTGACCATGTCAGGGACAAGCTAGAAGCTAAGTCACAGAAGTGCACATTCATTGGATACGGCATTGATGAGTTCGGGTATCGCCTTTGGGATGAGAAGAACAGGAAGATCATCAGGAGCCGGGATGTGATATTCAATGAGGAGGTGATGTACAAGGACAGGGACAATGCCAAGGATAGCCAAAGCAGTGGGAGCAGCACTACGGATACAGGTGGATCCGAGTACATGGATATAGAGGAACTTCCAGATAGGGGTGATGATGTTTGTTCTGACCGTAGAACAGGGGAGGCTCCAGGTGCAGAAGAAACTACCCAGGGCGTGGAGCTTAGGAGGTCATCCAGGGTACCCAAACCAAATCCCAAATACCTCTCGTCACTTGATTATCTACTCTTAACAGATAGCGGAGAGCCGGAGTGTTATGAAGAGGCAGTGCAAGTGAGTGAATCTCAGCAGTGGGAGCATGCGATGCAGGAGGAGATGGATTCTCTACTCACTAATGAGACATGGGAGTTAGCCCAGCTACCTGCGCAGAAGAAAGCCTTGCACAATAAATGGGTCTACCGGGTCAAGCAGGAGAGTGATGGAAGCAAGAGATTCAAGGCCAGATTAGTAGTGAAAGGGTTTCAACAGCGGGAAGGAGTGGACTACACGGAGATATTTTCCCCTGTTGTGAAACTCACAACCATCAGAGTGGTGTTGAGTTTGGTAGCTGCAGAAGACCTCTTCCTTGAGCAGTTAGATGTGAAGACTGCCTTTCTTCATGGTGACTTGGATGAAGAAATCTACATGAAGCAGCCTGTTGGCTTCATTGAAGAAGGAAAGGAAGAGATGGTGTGCAAGCTCAAGAAGAGCTTATATGGTTTGAAACAGGCTCCGAGACAGTGGTATAAGAAGTTTGATAACTTCATGCAGAACAATGGCTACAGAAGATGCAATTCGGATCATTGCTGTTATTTCAAAAGGTTCGAGTCCAGCTTCATTATTTTGTTATTATATGTTGATGACATGTTGGTAGCAGGACCGTGTTTAGAAGAGATAAACAGTTTGAAGAGGCAGCTAGCAAAGGAATTTGCAATGAAGGATCTGGGTGCAGCGAAGCAGATTCTAGGGATGCGAATCAGTAGGGATGAAGCTGAAGGGACATTGAGTTTGAGCCAAGCTGAATACATTGAGAAGGTACTTCAGAGGTTCAACATGCAGAATGCTAAAGTTGTTAGCACACCCCTTGGAAGTCAGTTCAAGTTATCTGAGGAGCAATCGCCTAAGACAGATGCAGATAGAGAGCATATGAGCAGGGTGCCCCCGACTATTTTAGCCTGCCCTTAGCTAAATAGTCGGGGTTGCCAACCCCGACATAACTAAATAGTCGGGGTTGGCAACCCCGACTATTTAGCGGCGTCATTTAAAAAAAAACCGACCCATTTCGTGGCCACGCTGCTGACGTGGCCCGAAATGGGTCGGTTTTGAGAATAAAATGTGGACTGGGTCGAATTTTTTAATAAAAAATTTAAAGGAGTTTAAATCGAAAATTTGTTCAATTAAGTAATTGTAGATTCATGTGAGATCAAGGACTAACTAATTAAGGATCAGCATTTCTTTTTTAAGAGGGAATTAAATCTATATCAATGGATCTGTAAGACTCTTGCAAGTGAACCACGAATCCAACAAGGTCAAGTCCTTGGTTTAGAAATTATAATTTTCCATAAAAAGAAGTGACATCAGTATATTACATCTTTTGTGACATCACTTTGATTTCAACTGCCAGAATTGTAACATTTTTCTTAATAAATTAAAAGCAGAAAACAATTTTTTTTCCCCCAAAAAATTCCATCTTATCCATCTACGCTATGGTCGGAAGTCAATATAACTAGTCGAATGTTGAATGCTAAATGCCTAGCTTTTTCTGTTAGTCTAAGTGTGTAGACCCGAAGCTGCAATCGAAAAGACGAAGAAAATAGTCAGAAGACTGTGCGGTCGACCGCAGTGGCAGAGCCGGTCGACCGCGTGCACTGCAGGAGACTGAGAAGAAGTTTTCGCTCTGGTCGGTCGACCGGCGTGGCCGCTGCGGTCGACCGCAAATGTGCACAGGACCCTGTAAACAGATTTTTCTCTGGCCGGTCGACCGGCCTTGGCACGGCGGTCGACCGCGAATCGCCCAGACAGTTTCCTGATCTGTTTAGGAATCTGTTTCAACCAGGATTCTATATATACCCCAAACGATTTTAGGGTTTGTAAGACATCAAAAGAGAGCTTTTTGGCTGCTAAGAGAGAGAGAATCTCAGAGAGATTTACCCCTTGTTTGAGAGCTTGTATTTTCTTCTTCAATTAATAGAAAGATTGTGTGGTGTGGCTCCCGAGGACGTAGGCACGTTGCCGAACCTCGTTAAATCTGTGTGTTCGTCTCTTTTACTGTTTTTTACAAGGTTAGATCTTTATTTGTGGTTTATTCCTACTTTCCTACTTTCAACACAAGGTCCGGAAGGGCAATGGTTCGATTGATTGTTTCGAATCCCCAACAAATGGTATCAGAGCTTCGTTCAGCTGGTGGGCTTTCACCAGGTGTGAAAGCGGAGGCCCAATGGGCCAAGCCTGTAAAGAGAATGAGAACAGACACTGGTAAAAGGAGGCATGGTCATATGTGATACAATTTCATATAATGTATGTGTGTGTATACCGTAATGTGACAGTATAGTTGCTAGTGCTTAGAAACTTAGAATCCAATTAAAGCTTATGCAAGGATGGGCTTTGCAAATGAATGCATCTTTTATCCATGCTTGTGTTCATACTGCAACTCATGATTGAAGCTTATACAGAAGGATCAACGATGAATTCTAAGTATTATCAATCATTATCAAACTTGTGCTGATATGCTTAACTGTTTTTTCTATCGGCTTGTTGTTGAGGGTCTGGCCATGTTTTTGATGTTCATACTTATTCGATGACAGTGAAGCTTCTTGTGTTGTTATGCTTAACTGTTTTTTCTATCGGCTTGTTGAGGGTCTGGCCATGTTTTCGATGTTCATACTTATTCGATGACAGTGAAGCTTCTAGATCAAGTTTAGGACTATTTATGGGATGTTTTAACTTCAAAATCCTCTTAATAACCCCTCTGTCGACCAGTTTGCTGTTATTTCTTGGTACAGTACATCTTCATCTCTGCTTCCCACCTAAAGTAACAATTCTTGTCCAAACCTCTTCTTGCTGAACTATGCAACCGTAGCACAGAAGTTAGCTGCGTTAAAATAGATTTAAGGACAAATTTTCAAAATCAACCTTTATGGCATTTTAAATAGCAAAACCGACCTCATATGACATTATTCAGCAAAACCGACCCTTTTCTTCTGAAAAGGGTCGGTTTTGCTGTTGTAAAAATTTTACGAAATACGCGGGACTGCTAGTCCCGTGTATTTCGACCCAGCTTTGAAAAACACGGGATTAGCAGTCCCGTGTTTTTTCGCAGAGACTTCGCCAGTTTTGAAAAAAAACACGGGACTAGCAGTCCCGTGTTTTTTTGCAGCTACAAAAACAAGTGCACGAAACTGCTAGTCCCGTGCACTTCCTGGGCACAATGAAATGCACGGGACTAGCAGTCCCGTGCATTTCTTGCACAAATTTGCACATATTTCTGCTGCGTTGTTGGAATTCCTTGTACAAACTCATATTTCAAATGCAAGTTTCATAAATTACACCATTTCATTTCATGTCAATTCCCTGTATAAACGCATATATCAAATCTAAAAATCATAAAATACACCACAAACTCATACAAATCCAACAAATCACGCCACAAACCCACTTACGATTCCAAATCCAACAAATCACGCCACAACTTACGAATCCAAATCCAACAAATCACGCCACAAACCCACTTACGAATCTAATAAGTCACACCACAGTCTCGGCTACAAATCCAAAAACCATCTATTGTCGCGAAATATGTTTATAATGTACATATCAAAATTGTCCAAACATTGTCAGCGCACGTGACAACTTAAAGTAACTGTCGTCAGTCTTGATACTTCAGTGAGACAAGTTCAGGGAGATTCTATGACTTATAAAGCTAGGGAGTTCTGTGCAGATATCTGCCAAAGCTCAGGGGGATTTTGTGAAATTTACCTTATTGACAATGTTTCTCAAATGAGTTTTGGAATCAGGAAGTAGTGTAAAACTGTGACATTTACCTGTATATAGAGTCTGTATTCTGACCCATGCAGCAAATTATGCTATTATCCCTAAAGTTTTTCGATATAGATTTCTCGAGTGCTTGCTGAAATTGATACGTTAAAGATACACGACCACCATAACCTTTCGCCAAAGTTTCGAGAATATTTTGTACGTCAACTTTAACACCATCAACTTTTTGTGAGACTAGATAAGCGCTTGTTTTTGTAGCTGCAAAAAAACACGGGGTTTTTTCAAAACTGCCGAAGACTCTTCAAAAAACACAGGACTGCTAGTCCCGTGTTTTTCAAAGCTGGGTCGAAATACCCGGGACTAGCAGTCCCGTGTATTTTGTAAAAATTTTATAGCAGCAAAACCAACCATTTAAAAAAAAGGATCAGTTTTGCTGAATAATATCATATGAGGTCGGTTTTGCTATTTAAAATACCATAAAGGTTGATTTTGAAAATTTGTCATGAATTTAAATAGAAGTATGACGCTCGTAAGGGATCTTTCAGAATAATTTGTGCCTTAGGAGATACCGGTGGACTCAATAGAAAGGGGATCTCCCAAGGAAAATATACATACAGTTGAAAAGATTTAAACTTTTAAACAGGTGATCTATGAAAGGAAGAAGTGGGTAATTTTCAAACGGTTGAACAAATCAGTCCAAAGATTCTTGTATGCTATAACATTAACTTTCCTCGTGTAAATTGGAATAATACTGGTGCACAATAAACATCAGAAATTCTTTCAGTCTCTAATTGTTTACAAGAAAAATATCACGTTGTAAACGTAAACTGATGCTCAATCAAAAGCAATTTCAAAATCACTGGGTAGTAACTCAAGCTCGAGCTTTCAAATTCATTAGATGTTGAAGGATGGGCGAGGTGGTCCATCAACTGGAGCTATGAATCTGAAGGATGGGCGAGGTGGTCCGCTAACTGGAGCTATGAATCTGTAAAACTCATCGAGGATGATATAAATATGAATTCCAAGGTTCATGCAGGAAATATCCAAATGATAGCTCCATCAGGACAATAGCTATGAAAGCTTATTCATACATATGGGACCAACACCAACAGAACGGAACAAAGCCTCCTTGCTGGTCCACCATAGAATCAACTTACCAGCTAGCAAGCCGCTCGATCTTTGATCTGCGTAGATTTTAGGATATGCTTAGACAACCGTTGCAGTGTTAGGTACCAATCTCAATGAATCATAACACGTCCTTGGGTATTACGACCTGCTAATACCATATTTTACATTGAATGCAACATGATACCTAACGATATAGATTAATTCAAAAGAGAAGAAGCTGATCTCCAAATAAAAGATAAAAACGCCAGAAGGCAGAAAGATGACATACCAAAGAACTGACTGACGAATGGCAGGTGGTCCAACTATAAAACTCTGACTTGATCTGCAGAGAGACGCACAAACAGCTAAAGAAAAATGCTTATCAAATAAAAAAGGAATCAAATCACAAGATCAGAGAGATGAAATCTCACCTCCATTGTTTTTACAATTTCACATTTTCATGCTTGAGATGCTTTTTCAATAAGGTGCATGTAGAACATTGATTAAAGATTCAGTGAAACATCCATGAACGGTACAAAATTCATGATGCACGGCAATCTGCATCAACTGAAACTGAAATTCAAGGAATAAGTTGAGCTATGGATGGGTAAAAGAGACCACCTGAAAAAAGAAAAAGTTTTATCAATTACTGGCAACATTTTGAATACTTGAATTTTCCATGTTATTCTCCAAGACTTAGTCAGATGCCTGCCCACTTGTTCAACATATGGTTCAAGTGGAATAAACTCCAAAGCACAGGAAAAGAAAAGAGTTGGCTACACTCTTGGTAAAGACAAATTTGTTTGGATCTGCTACTCTGAAAGAACAAGAATGCACCTAAGGAAGGATCGTTTCAATTGTCGCCTCGGATTACCACATGGTTCTGCACCTATTGAACTGAATGGCTGTTTCCTGGGCATTAGCATACAAAGTTTTTTTTTAAATTTAAATGAGTCTTTCAAAATAAAAACAAAATACAGCTAAATATTAATCTGGGGAAATGACCGACCGACAGGCAAAATTACCTCTCTTTCTCATCATCTTTCGTCGAAGACTACCCTCTTTCTTCTCCAAAAACTGCCTCGTACCCTTAGTTTCCCTCTCACTTATAGCTGCAAGAACTTAAAACAGAAAGAAAATATAAATGATATGTGGAATGATATCATTGTTTTTACAGAATCAAGTTCCAAAAATTCAATTTAAACAATATTTTAAAAATAAGTTGCAAGATAATGATCAATTTAAACAATATTTTAAAAATAAGTTGCAAGATAATGATCATAATAAGAGAAGATTGTGAGATGAACTTTATTTCTCAAGGGTGGAATTAAATATGGATTAAGGAATCTTGTCACTCCTAATTCATTGATTAGAACAAGAAGCTGGAACATTAATTTTTTTAAATTTCTATACACTATAACTAACCAGCAGTAAAGCAGCCGCAGAAATATGTTTCATCGAGAAACAGTAACTTAAGATGAGAATTAAAAAAAAGAATAATCATGTAAGAAAATCTTAAAATGCTCTTGGAAGAAAACAAAGCATAAACCTAAAGCAAATTATTTAACTTTAAACAAGCGAGGGTTACCATCTTATAAAGGCCATTTTTGTTTATATATCTCCATGCAAATTAATTTCTACTAGTCTAGTTGCATATAAACAGTTAGTATTGTAATATATTGTATTAGAATTGAATTTTGATTTTCAACAAAAACTCAGACAAATTATATTTTCACCTACATGACATTATAAAATTAGAAATAAGCAGCATCTCTCATGGTGTGTGGGTAGTCACCTATAAATTGTCAAAAAAGGTACATTTCATTGATGTAAACTTTGCTTACCGTAATGAACCAGTTGGATTTGAGTGCAAATTAGTACCATCTGATTCCAGACATATATGCTGAGGTGATTTAATTGTTGGTATTTTCCAGCCTACTGATGTAAAGATTCGGGAAGCTGCGTCAGCATAGATTTATGCAACTCAAAGGCCTTCTCAGAGTAACCCATCTTACGATATCCATGTATAAGAGTTGTATAATTTATTGCCTTAGGAGTGAATCCTACTATAATCATTTTAGCCAGCAGCAACTCTGCGACGCTCATCACTGACAACTTGCTACATCTCTCTATTAAACAAGTATACAAATACACATCTGGTACTAAACCACTTTCCACCATTCTATTGAACAATCGTACAGCCTTCTTAATATCATTGCACCTACAATAAGCAGCAATTATTGAAGTATGCATACTTCTGTCAAGTCTGAATTTATGTCTCTCCAATTTATAGAACAGTTCCAAAGCAATCTCCTTATTGTTGGACCTGCAATAACCTGCAATTATCGAACTGTACACAATGCCATCAGGTTCAAACCCATCTGTCTCCATTGAATTGACAAATTCCAGAGCTTTCTTCATATCCTCGCATCTGCAGCAACATGAAATCATCGTAGAATAAAGAACCCTGTCAGGCTTGAATCCCTTCCATTTCATTTCCTCAAATAAGCCCAAAGCTGTAGGAAGCATTCTAGCGCTGCATAGCCCATTGATGAGACTTGTATAAGTAAAAATGTTTGGATTTATACCCCTTTGAGACATCATTTCATAGATCATAAGAGCTTTCTCCAAGTCCAGTGTTTTGACTAAACCATTGATCAGGATGGTATATAGAACTACATCAGGAACAAGAGCTCGTTTTATCATAACTCCAAAAATCTCCCATGCACCACAAGAACTTCCAATTTTGTATAGCGCATCAATGATTGTAGTGTAAGTAAATATATTGGGATTGATACCCAGCTCCCCCATTTCATTTAAGAACCGAAAAGCTTCTATAAAACACCCTTCCTTGCATAACCCATCAATAATAATGGTGCAAGTAACAATATTGAGCGCCACACCATCATTAAGCATGATTTCAAACTGATCTGTAGCTTCCTGCAATTTTTGGTTTTGGCAATAGCTGTAAATTAGACTGGTATGGCAGAAAACATCTGGAGTGAACTTGTCTTGGATCATTTCATGCCATAGCTCACGTGCACCATCCATATCACCATGCTGACAACATCCGTCAATGAGAATGCTATAGGCCATAAGATCTCTCCCATAGCCCTTATCTCTGAACTCACGAAACAACTTTATTGCAATTTCCATTTCTCCTAGGTATACGTGATCACATTAGGCATTAATTCTCTTCTATGCATTTCCTCAAAGAGATTCCAAACTTCAGAAACATTGCCCTCCTTACAAAACCCATCGACCAAGATGCTATAGCTATGAACATCAGGTGATAAGCCACACTTCTTCATCTCATCCAATACTGTAAATGCTTTGTTCAACTCCCCTTTACGGCAAAAACCAAGAATGACAGCATTACAACAATAGTTATCATACTCAAGTCCTCTATGCTGAAAGTCCTTAAGAAATTCCCAAGCACTCTCAACCTTCCCTATCTTACAAAGCCCTCGAAGGTACATGCTATATGTTACTGCATTAGGCCTGACACCATGATTTTCCATCTCTACAAGAATCTTGTTAGCTTCATCTACATCCAGTGTATTGCCTTTAGTGTACAAGTCCATCATAGTAATATAAGTGTAAATGTTTGGTGATGGCCCCAGCACCTTCATATACTCAAACAAACTCCTGACAACCCCAACATTATTCCTCTCGACGAAACACTTGAGCAAAGAATTGCACAGAGGGACGCCCATTTCAAGCCCAATTTCCATAGCCTCCAAACAAAATTCTAGCGCATCCTCAATCATTGAATTGTCCACGAGAGCTTTTATCAGATTTCCATAGGCTTGCAACGGCGTAATTGAACCACTAGAAAATCTCACAACTTCAGAAAGCAATCCCTTGTCAAAAACCATCACATCAAGAAGCAAATGCCTGACTTCTCTACGCATTTTCACCAGCGAGAAAATCCCAACCAGCATTGAGAATGACTCTAATGCATGAGAAATGCCATATATATCCACCACATTTGCAAATTTCATCTCACAGAAAATATCATGATTCAAAGTTTTCACAGAGACAGCAATGTAAGGGAAAAGGGTCGGGCTTCTCACAGTGCAAAAGCTGAACTGGTTAACCTGTGAAGTTTTGCTAGTTCTCTCTACGGAATCGACCAACGGGTCATCTCGAATTGTCGAAAGAGCAGCAGAGGAGTACTTGTGAACTCTTCGAATGAGGTTCCGGCGCGAAAATCCCAATTGAGGCCGAATCATGGAGACGCTTAATCGAGGAAAAAAAAATCTGTTCCATAATAAACCTTTACTAAGAATAATACTTATTTCAAAGGATGAAATACGATTTTTAAAAGAAAATTAAGATAAATGACCAAATTTGAAGTTGGTACTTCCAAAAACTATACAAATGCATTGAGTATTTTGCTGTTACTAACCTCTGTGATCCTTGTTAGGAACATCCAGATAAGAATCAGGTAACACCCAAAGAACACCAGGTAATCCTGCCAGATTAAACAAATTGCGCATGTTTACCATAGTAAAATTCATATATAAGCAACATAAATTTAAATGATCATATATAAACTAAACAGCTTTAGGACAAAATTTAAGAACAACTTTAGGACAAAATTTAAGCTGAAAGCTGCGAGTGAAGAATGTAACTATATGACAAAAATGAGTATGATTATAATTGGCACAATAATGCTTCTTTGTATAGATGAGTGATATTTTCCTTACTTTATACTCGGAGCGTCAAGATGAGGCTGAGCGGGAGGCGGAGGCGGAGTGGGACGCGTAGGCGGAGAGGGACGCTCTTGCACCAGCTTAAGATGTGGAGAAGAACCAGCCAGCCCGGATCAGAGAGCGAAAAATCTGAGATGTAAACCCTAAGCCGACGGGAAATCTGAGATCCAAAAAATCTGAGATCAAGTAGGCGCGGCGTTGGAGCGGGACGCTGCGGAGGAGGCGAAGCGGGACTTGGCGTCAGCTTGGAGGCGGAGGCGGAGGCGGAGGCGGAGAGCGAGGGAGAGGCGCAGGGTCGCCAGAGTAGGAGGCGGCTCTTGGAGGTGGACTGGTGGAGGTGGTGGGATTTGGAGAGAGGAATTAGGGTTTGAGTTGATATTGGGTCGGATGCGGATAACATGAGTATATGTTAACCCCGACCCAATACAAGTGTTATATATGACTATTTCAAATATCCGGATATCTGGATCGTATCCGCAATTTTGACCCGATAACCTTATCCGAAATCGTATCCGGATAAAAAAATAAAACCGTAACCGTTTTAGAAACCGTATCCGATCGGTTTTAATTTTTCTTTACCATATCCGCTTTCTAAATGGAGACACCTCTCGCTGATGAAGAGAAGCAAACATCCAGGTAGTTCCAAGGGTAAAAATTCCTCATCCACTTCTACGCTTCCAATTAATTCTTTAAATTAAAGGCAACTGGGTGAGATTTCTATTAGCTATGGTGTTCGAGAACCAGTTGACCCCTTAGGATTGACCTGATAACCTTATCCGAAATCATATCCAGATAAAAAAACAAAACCGTAACCGTTTTAGAAACCGTGTAAGACCGGTTTTAATTTTTCATTACCATATCCGCTTTCTAAATGGATACGGTTGTGGTCGGTCCGGATAAATCCGGACTTATTGTTTATTTTTAGACATTTAGAGTGTATTTTATTTTGTAAAGGCCGAGTGTCTTAGTACTATTCCATTTGACTCTATATATTGAGATATTCCACAATATTCTATTTTATTCAGTTGGAACATTTAGTACTATTCCATTTGACTCTATATATTGAGATATTCCACAATATTCTATTTTATTCAGTTGGAACATGATTTTGATTATCTGGATATCACTTCTTTTGAGATATTCCACAATATTCTATTTTATTCAGTTGGAACATGATTTTGATTATCTGGATATCACTTCTTTATATCATGTTCATTGCATTATTATTTTTATTTGTCTGTTTTGTACCTACACTTATTATTTGATTCCGTTAGAGATATTACTGTGATGGTGAAACGTGTTATTGCACAGTGTGGGTGCATGACAGGTTTGACCTCCTTGGGTTCACCTTGGACTACAGTCTTGTCTAAAACCAGGGGCGTCACAATAGATTCTTGGAAAGTTATAGCTATGTGAACCCCAGACAAAAAGAGCATATTACCATAACAAGGTTACCCCATACAAAAAGAGCATATTACCATAACAAGGTTATCTTTAACTCCATTGATAGTATTTTAATATGATCTTTTGCATTTAAATATCTCAAAGTTACTTTGTTTTTAACATTGATACACCAATGTTTTCTTTTGCCAAAAGTTACTCCAAAATTACTTCATTTTTAACTTTGATACCTTTTTTTGGTGCCCAAAAGAAACGTTAAAGTTCCACAAAATTTAACTTGATACCTCAAACTTATAGAAAGTTTAACTTTGATAGCCCAAACGTTAACAAAATTTAAAAAAAAGAATTTAAGCTTGGGATATTAAAACTAAGTTTTGTTTAACTTTAGGATAATTTATTAAAGTAAAAAATCTTCAGTGTATCTAAGATTAATTTTGTTAAACGTTGTTTGGGCAAAAGAAAAAGTTTAGGATATCAAAGTGAAATATAAGATAAAACTTTGGGGTGTTTTAAACGTAAATGACCTTATCTTTGTACTCCATTGTGAATGTACAAGTGAAGGGTAAATTTCACAAGAGAGGTTTTATTAACATAATAAGCAATGAAGTGAATTTAATGGGTGGGGTTTTGTGAAAAAAATCCCCTTCTTAAGCCATCAGTTTAAAAACCCTATGAACCCATCATGTTGTTTTCTCTCAGGGGCTGTTTGGTTGTATGTTTTTACCATGTAAAAGGATGTAAAGTGTAAAAAAGTAGGTCCCAATGTCAGCTTTCATCACTTTCAATTGTTTGTTTGTAGTTGTGAAAATAGTGTAAAGTGATTTCATATGCTGATGTGGCTTGTAAAGTAATTTCATGAAAAAAAGACATGATTTTAGGAAAAAGCTAACATTAAAGTTAGGAAAAAATAATAAAAAATAATTTCAACCAATATGATCATTTGAGCAGGGACCACTTTTTATACTTTCCAAACAAACAATTAAAGTTTCATTTTGCAAACCAAACAAGTGTTTTATGATTCCAATGAAATCAAAAACAAACAAAGAAAAGTATAAAAATGAAATTGATGAGGTGGACAACAACTTTCCAAGTTGTGTCATAAATACATAACTTTACCAACAACAACCAAACAGCCCCTCAATGTGACAGTCTGTCAGCTTTTGAATGAAAACGGGTTTTGGAGTGAATTCTAAATTCGTGACACTTCATCATTTGCAACACCACGTCAGCTCATTTTCTTCCTTTTGTCGTTGCCTCCAAACACCGTAAAAGGCGAAAACTGAACAAAAGTCTGACACATTTCTTTTGCTTTCCTAAGAAAAAACCACAACCAAACCGGCTCTATATCTAAATAACCCTATTATTTTTGTTGAAATATATCATCAACTAGATATATATAAACGTTTTATTGCGTATAAATATTTTTTTTCTAAATAGCTAAGTAATTTTAACCCTAACAAAAAGTATAATATTTTTAATTAGTACATTGTCTCTAAAATTGTGTGACTAAATCAAGATTCATAAAAATTAAAGTATAATATTTTTAATTAGTACATTGTCTCTAAAATTGTGTGACTAAATCAAGATTCATAAAAATTGTGTGACTAAATCAAGATTCATGCAATTTGTTTGCTCTAAAGTTTTCTTCAATATGGGAAATTTTGGAAGGGTATTCTCCCCTTGGTGAGAACAGACGTGTCTAAAAGTCTTGCCTAAATTTGTTTACGTCTGGGTTGAAATTCTCAACCTCCCCATCGATCTATGGGATTCAGAGTTTATTATGGAGCTTCTAGGAGACATCGGCGATGTTATCACAACATCAGACGATGTTATGATAAAGAAGAATGCTGAGGTATGCAAAGTTATGCTTCATGTTCGGGACCCTTCTGAAATTCCCCAAGCTATCACCTTTAGGTACCCACCCCCAGACGATCTCCTCACTTTCGTCAAAAGATCTCCACAAAGGACTCAACAAGAATCCTACTTCTTCAGTAGCCAAACAAACAACATTGGTTCCTCAAGATCTCCACAAAGGACTCAACAAGAATCCTACTTCTTCAGTAGCCAAACAAACAACATTGGTTCCTCCTCAAACATCAGATCCCAAAAGCAAAAGACCTATGGAAGAAGTGGATGGGCTCAACCAGTCTAGTCCCCAAGACCAAGGAAAAGAAGATGCGACAGAACTCATAGATGTTTCATTCAAGGGGATCCAGATCAAGATTTCTAAATCTTCCTGGGAGCAACTAAATGCAACATTTTCGCTCCTAGAAGGTGCGTCTCCTATCCCTCCCATTGACAACTCTGCAGATCGAGCTATCCCCATCAGCTCCTCTGACTCCTAGGACATTGCTTCTTCTTCAGATCCTCCCCCAGGATTCGAAAATGTGAAAAGACAGGCTAAGAAGAGATCCAACCGTGGGCTATTGTCTCACTTGCCCTATAGGAGACACCTCTCTTTGATGAAGAGAAGCAAACATCCAGGTAGTTCTAAGGGTAAAACTTCCTCCTCCGCTTCTACGCTTCCAATTAATTCTTTAAATTTAAGGCAATTGGGTGAGATTTCTATTAACTATGGTGTTCAAGAACCAGTTGACCCCTTAGGATTGAAAGATATCCAAGACATGGAGAGATCAGCGGCAAATCCCTCATGAGTGTCCCCCCTTTATCTAGTTGTTCATCTATTTGGTTCCAAAGAGGATTGGTTCATGGAACGTAAGGGGGCTTAACAACCCTGCTAAACGTAGATTGGTGAGAGACTGTATTAAGTTAGCTAAAGTTAATCTAGTGGGTCTGCAAGAAACAAAACTCAACTCCAACAGACTTAACATTCTAAAGAATTTGGGTGGGGGTAGTATTTCTTCTTGGATTTCATTAGAAGCTACCGAGTCCATGTGGGTATTCTCTTAGGTTGGAATGAAGACACCTTCTCTTGTTCATCTTCTTCTATTGGAATATTCTCAGTCACTACCATTTTTACTCATAGACCTTCCAACTGGCAGTTTGCAACCACTTCAGTTTATGCCCCATGTGACTCAGATGATAGAGAGGTATGATGGTGGGAACTAAAAAGAATTAGATCATCCCACTCTTTGTCTTGGGTAGTTTTTGGTGATTTCAACATGACTCTGAGCTTAGCAGAGAGGAGTGGTCGTTTAGGTTCTCTTAGAGACATAGCAACTTTCAAAAACCTCATTAACTCAATCCAACTCATTGACCTCCCCCTTAGTGGCAGAAAATTCACATGGTCCAATCATAGAATCTCCCCAGTGTTGGCCAGGCTTGATAGATTCTTAGTGTCTCTGGATTTCGAAGCTCATTTCCCTCTTCTTATCCAATTTGCATACCAATCACCATGTTTGGACCACTGTCCTATCATCTTAGACTCCAGCTCTCCTCATCAGTCACCTTTGTTCAGATTTGAAAAGTACTGGCTTTCATTCCCTTCATTCACCCCTTTCATCCAACGCTGCTGGAATTCATTCACTTCCAAGGAAGCTCAACCTATCCCTCTCCCCTTCAAACTCAAACTCGTCAAGGAAAGAATTAAATGATGGAAAAGAAATTGCCTTGGCTCTACAAATCAACTCCTATCTAAATCTATGGCTCAACTTGACACCCTCAACCGTCTAGAAGAGGCCAGAGGTTTATCCCCCCAAGAATCCCAGCTTAGAAATGGACTAAAAGATCACCTCCTCTTCCTTTGATACAGGTGTATCTTCTCTTCGGAACTTAGCGATCCTTATGGGAGCTTGAGGATAGATGATTCTCATAATAGCATGAGAATAGGGGTGTAAAACAGTAAAGTGGAACGCAGGTAGAAGCGTGGAACGAGACGACGAGCAGCAGATTCAAAGAATCCAGATTTTGTTTGTCTCGCTGCGAGAACTTCCGCCGCGCAAAACACTTATCAGCAGAATATCTATTTTATTTAGGACTAGAATTTAACTATCTAATGTTGTATCCTTTCTAACATTTCGTTCATGTCTAATGTATGTATGAAGCATGACATGGCTGGTCAAGTATTTGTTTGCTTTCACAATATATCTCATACAGTCTGTTTTTGTGTTCTTTTTCTTTCCATATATTGTGGCCAATGTTGAAAATAATGAAAATAGGTTATGTAACATTTGGCCTCTTGTTAAGGGTTTAAGGGGAAAACGCAAAAAAAAGTAACTCATAATGTAAGTTATATTGTTTATTAATTATTTAGATATTTTATAAATACTAACAATTCATAATAACTTTTAAACTTAGAATCATCATACTTTTCAAACATAACATCACAATGCTCAAATATAAAAATATATTATTACTGTTAGAATTAATATAAAACTATAATTTTCGATCCTTACAATAACTTAGGAGTTTTGGTGTAATGGTTAGGGGAACTAAATTTAAGATGGTATCAGAGCAACCCAGGTTCAAATCCCACCGGCCACGAATTAATTACGGATTTTCTAAAAATTGACACCACTACGTGAGTCCAAGTTTCGACCCATAAAAAAGGGCGCTCAACCTGCGACCATGAATTAATTGTGGGTTTTCTAAAAATTGACACCGCTACGTGAGTCCAAGTTTCGACCCATGAAAAAGGACGCTCAACCTGCGGGGGCATATTAAAATTAATATAAAACTATAATCCTTGATCCTTACCATAACTTCGGAGTTTTGATGTAATGGTTAGGGGAACTAAATTTAAGAGTTACAATTTTTTTAAAAAGCTAGTCATATTTGAGTAACAACCATTCCAAAAAGCATCATCAAATGATCAAATACATTAATGTCGTCAGGTTTAAGGCAATATGATTCGTAATCTAGTTCACTACTCAACCAAACTAAACTTGATTACGTAACAACAATAAGAAATTTTACATATACAGAGATTGCGTGCAAACTTAATTTCACAAACTCTAGTATTAACTAAAAACTAAAAATTAAAACCTAATCAAAATTTAGTAATAACTAAAAGTAATTATCTAACTAACATAATTAACCCATTAATTAATCTCGATACTCTAATTCTGTGGTAGATCTTAAAAAATTATGTTAAAGGGTGAAGTAATGGAGCAACAAGTTTGATGCGGTTTATGGTAAATTGACGATATAAAATATTAGAATTTGAAAGGTAATTTCAGTCACTATTTATTTGAAGGATATAAACTGAAATGCCCAATGCATAACTAATTAAAAAATAAAAAATTTACCTCAATGGAGTCACAAAGGTCGCTAATAGCTGGAAGAGTTTCAGAGGAGACAAAGAGTTAGGGTTTGGGTTAGAGAAGGCGAAGAGTCGCATATTCACATGAAGAGAATAGAGTGATTGTGACTAAAAGGGGTAGGGTGTAAATGATTTGGACAATAGAGATACATCAACGCGTCCTAATCTAAGATGCAAGTTAACCTAAAAAAACTCATGTTAACTGCTTATATAACGTAAAGCATATTTAACGCAATATAACGTGTTTTTTTGGGTTAAACAGTTTCAAGGTTAAATGAGTGTCTTACCTAACAAGAGGGCACCGTTAAGTTGCAAAATGGGTTGTAACAAGTTATGTAATGGGTTTTTGTAAACACTGATGTGACTTACTGGCTTAATACTTTGCATCCAAATGGTGTATATAGTGCAAGCTCTCTTTCACTGAGAACCTAGGGAAAACGAAGAGTTCTACTGTTGAAAATTTATTAATTTGTTTCCATAAAATGCGGGTCATTGTACCTTTCGTCCTCCTATATGATGTTAGTTTTTGAATTGTTGAAGGTATGAGACTCATTTTGTTTCTGAGCAATGCAAGTATTTTAGAAACTGTTTCTATGGGTCAATAGATACTCACAAACCCAGCGAACTTGTTGAATGATTGTATCACATGCTGATGCTGAGCATTTCATACATAGTCATTTGAGTTGATTTGCATCATTTGGTTTTGATTTGCATTGATCATATATTGGGGAATCAGTGATCTAACTTGAATAAATACATTGTTAACTGAAATGAATGAAATGGAGTCAGAACGTAATTTAAAAATGTTAATGTTGATATTTTAGATGGTTTGGACTTGTCCAATACAGTGTATTTATAGTTGTTTAAGATTTGACATGATATTGATGAGCTTTTTCAACTCTTGAACTAATTAATAGCAACATTTATATTATCAATTTGGTCATAGTTCTATTCTCAATATTGATTGATTAACAGTCACAATGTTATTGGCAGTCCACTAATATAGGCCTGATCCTAACCTATTATTTATAAGAGTCCCCACTTCTATATATATTCACCCATGCACCAATGAATGTTGATAATATTTTATATGGTGAATTTACAATGCAATATAACTAAAGATTTGAGATGCAGGAAAGTATCTGATGGCAGATTAAGATGCAGGCAGACTATATTGAAGATTACAAGCTTCTGCAGCTAACTCGACGGAGTCAAGTTTTCTCCCACCCGGGGAGAATTATGATGAGGAAAAGAATGACATTTCTATATTTGTATTTGAATTTTAATTATTTTAGTTTTTAGTATTCAATTTCGAATTTTGAATTTTAGTTTAGATTTGAATTTTCAAATTAAGTTTAGATTTGGTAGTTAATCAGTTTTAGTAACTGAGAGATTTGAGTGATTGATTATGAGAGATTTTAGGGATTATGTATTTTCTCTTTTATTTAAACACTCTTGTAATCAAATGAAAAAAAATTAGAAATTGAAGAAATGAAATATTGTTAGCCAATTTTTGGAGTGAAACCTGAGTCTTGGACGTGAAACCCTAGGCTAATATTACTCTCTTCTCTTCTCCCAACCGTCAGCTCAGAAATCCTTCCGCTCTTCTCTTCCACAAAGCCGACGACCAACATCTCCAGCCCCGCGCCCTTCTTCCTTCATCCCCGATCAGTCCCAACCTCATCTCCACAGCTGTCTCCCCCTCTTCCATAGCCAAGAACTTCATCAACTTCTCCAAACCTTTTCCTCTTTCCTCAGCCACCAGTCTTACGACCCTCCCGCGTTCCCACTTTCCAATCAGGCCGGCGCCAAACCCCCTACAACCGCCAAGAAGCCTCAAGCACCGCCTTTTACCTTGTTCTCAATCTGGCCCTCAGGCGCACCCGAAAACCCCCCCCCCCCCCCTCTTCTCTCCGTCCTGTCTGAGCAGCCCCAGGTTCCCCGCTGTCCTGCACTTCCGAACAGTCTCGACCCCGCCGCCGGGTCACTTCGACGCCACCTTCGTCGTTGCTTAGCAGCTTGTACCTTCCTTCTCTGCTTCAGCACCTCTCTGAAGCCTTGCTCCATGGTGATGCTTGTTAGTCCTCTCCAAATGAAGCTAGTTCCTTAGCAGCAGAGTCTACATTCTTGAATGTGCCAGGGCGTCTTGGGAAGATGACAAGCTTAACCTTGTACTTCTTCAGCCTCTGCACGTTAGTCTGGAGCCCCTCCAGAGATTGGTTCTTTCTCCTGTGATCCACTAAAATACCAACAAGAAACCCTAGTTTGTTGACGTTGTCACCCGCGTTGCTGCCCAGTTTGACACCACCCTCTGCCCACTCAGTTGCTGTCGCATCACCTCCAGAGGTTCTTCACATCGAGTCTGTTCAGACCGACGAAGGTTTCGTTTTCTCTCTATTTTCTTATAATTTCACTTTATTAGTTGATTGCACGAGTATATCACCTCTAAACTCTTATCTTATAGAGTGACACTACGGTCACACTGCCCACCACACCATGGGACACAACCCCCCTCACAGCTATAGTGCACAGCCCACTTTAGATTTTTAAAAAAAATCTAAAGTGGGCCCGTGCACTGTAGCTATGAGGGGGGTTGTGTCTCATGGTGTGGTGGGGAGTGTGACCGTAGTGTTTTTTTATCTTATATTCACTGTGTAGAGTATAATTGTGAGTTGAGAGAAACTGAACATGTGACTGTTGTAATTTTGATATTGATCTTAGAATTTGTGCAATGATAATTAATCTATTAATTGAATTGTTTGAGATTGAAATTGTTCATGATTATCATTGCAAGTCTTATTAAAATCTATATGTCATATTAATCGTTTTAAGTTAATTTCCTACCGAATATCATGAATTTTGGCGAAATGGTGCCTTATTAAATTTAAATCGTTGATTCTGATAGACTCCCTCCCTCATTTCGCATCACTTACACTCCTTAACACAAACAAACAATTTCAATGTGTCTACTCACTATGTACTCCCTCCATCAACCTCTCTTGGCCATACAATGGCTCTTCAGAATTCAGTTTACAGAAATGACTACTATAGGCACAGCCACAGTTATCCACTTATACAGATCAAAGCAGCCACAAGTTTTGCTGCCTCCACCCAATCAATACAATATGGATTAAGGAATCTTGTCACTCTTAATTCATTGATTAGAACAAGAGTCTGGAACATTAATTTTTTTTAAATTTTGTACACTGTACACTAACCAGCAGTAAAGCAACGGCAGAAATTTGTTCCATCGAGAAACAATAACTTAAGATGAGATTTTTTTAAAAAAGAGAATAATCATGCAAGAAAATTTTAAAATGCTATTGGAAGAAAACAAAGCATAAAGCTAAAACAAATTATCTAACTTTAAACAAGTGAGGGTTATCATCTTATAAAGGCAATTCTTGTTTATATATCTCCATGTAAATTGATTTCTACTAGCCTAGTTGCATATAACAGTTAGTATTGTAATATATTGTATTAGAATCGAATTTTTATTTTCAACAAAAACTAAGACGACTTATATTTTCACATGCATGACATTATAAAAAATAGAAATAAGCAGTATCTCTCATGGTGTGTGCGTAGTCACATGTAAATTGTCACAAAGGTACATATCATTGATGTAAGCTTTGCTTACCGTAGTGAATCAGTTGGACTTGAGTACAAATTAGTATCATCTGATCCATGCATATACGCTGAGGTGGTTTAATTGTTGGTGTTTTCCAGCCTATTGATGTAAAGATCCAGGAAGTTGCGTCAGCATACATTTATGCAACTCAAAGGCCTTCTTAGAGTCACCCATCTTACGATATCCGTGTATAAGAGTTGTATAATTTATTGCCTCAGGAGTGAATCCTACTATAATCATTTTAGCCAGCAGCAACTCTACAATGCTCATCACTGACAACTTGCTACATCTCTCTATTAAACAAGTATACATATACACATCTGGTAGTAAACCACTTTCCACCATTCTATTGAACAATCGTACAGCCTTCTTAATATCATTGCACCTACAATAAGCAGCAATTATTGAAGTATACATACTTCTGTCAAGTCTGAATTTCTGTCTCTCCAATTTATAGAACAGTTCTACAACAATCTCTATATTGTTGGACCTACAAGAACTTGCAATTATTGAACTGTACATAATGCTGTCAGGTTCAAACTCATCTGTCTCCATTGAATTGACAAATTCCAGAGCTTTCTTCATATCCTTGCATCTGCAGCAATATGAAATCATCGTAGAGTAAAGAACCATGTCAAGCTTGAATCCCTTCCACTTCATTTCCTAAAATAAGCCCAAAGCTGTAGGAAGCATTTCAGCACTGCATAACCCATTGATGAGACTTGCATAAGTAAAAATGTTCAGATCTATAGCCCCTTGAGAAATCATTTCATAGATCATAAGAGCTTTCTCCAAGTCCAATGTTTTGACTAAACCATTGATTAGGGTGGTATATAGAACTACATCAGGAATAAGAGCTATCAGAGCATCTCCAACAGCTTCCCCATCTTCTTGAAATACTCAAATTTGGAGAATATAGAGCTGTTTTTTGGTCCAACAGATTCCCCATCTCATTCCCCAAAATAGGGAAGGAGGAGAAAAAATAGGGAGCCTTCCCCAAATCTGCAGCATTCTCCAAATTTTTGGGGAGAGCTTTATTATTGTAATAAATGCGATTTTTCAAAATGGAGAAGCTGTTGGAGTTGGAGCAAAAATAATTTGGAGAATATGACTTTTGTTTCTCCATTTTGAAGAAAATTTTGGGGAAGCTGTTGGAGATGCTCTCATAGCTCCAAAAATCTCACATGCAACACAAGAACTTCCAATTTTGTATAGTGCATCAATGGTTGTAGTGTAAGTAAATATATTAGGATTGATACCCACCTCCTCCATTTCATTTAAGAACATAAAAGCTTCTATAATACGTCCTTCCTTGCAGAACCCATCAACAATAATGGTGCAAGTAACAACATTGCGCACCACACCATCATTAAGCATGATTTCAAACTGATCCGTAGCTTCCTACAATTTTTGCTTTTGGCAATAGTTGTAAATTAGACTGGTATGATAGAAAATGTCTGGAGTAAACTTGTCTTTGATCATTTCGTGCCATAGCTCACATGCACCATCCAGATCACCATGCTGACAACATCCATCAATGAGAATGATATAGGCCATAAGATCTCTCCTGTAGCCCTTATCTCTCAACTCATGAAACAACTTACTTGCAGTTTCCATTTCTCTTGTGGAACATAATCTATGCAATAGAGAGGTATACGTGATCACGTTAGGCATTAATTCTCTTCTATGCATTTCCTCAAAGAGATTCCAAGCTTCAGAAACATTGCCCTCCTTACAAAACCCATCCACCAAGATGTTATAGCTATGATTATCAGGTGATAAGCCACACTTCTTCATCTCATCCAATACTGTAAGTGCTTTGTTCGACTCCCCTTTACAGCAGAAACTAAGAATGACAGCATTACAACAGTAGTTATCATACTCAAGTCCTTTATGCTGCAAATCCTTAAGAAATTCCCAAACATTCTCAGCCTTCCCTATCTTACAAAGCCCTTGAATGTACATGTTATATGTTACTGCATTAGGCCTGACACCGTGATTTTCCATCTCTACAAGAATCTTGTTAGCTTCACCTACATCCAATGTATTGCCTTTAGTGTACAACTCCATCATAGTAGTATAATTGTAAATGTTTGGTGATGGTCCCAACACCTTCATATACTCAAACAAACTCCTGACAACCCTAACATTATTCCTCTCGATGAAACACTTGAGCAAAGAATTGCACAGAGGGACACCAATTTCCAGCCTAATTCCCATAGCCTCCAAACAAAATTCCAGCGCATCCTCAATCATTGAATTGTCCACGAGAGCTTTTATCAGACCGCCATAGGTTTGCAATGGCGTAATCGAACCACTAGAAAATCTCACAACATCAGAAAGCAATCCCTTGTCAAAAACCATCACATCAAGAAGCACATGCCTAACTTCTCCGTGAATTTTCGCCAGTGAGAAAATCCTAACCAGCATTGAGAATGACTCTAATGCATGAGAAGGCCATATATTTCCACCACATTTGCAAATTTCATCTCACAGAAAATATCCCAATTTAAGTTTTCATGGAGACAGCAACGTAGGGGAAAAGGGTCGGGTTTGTCACAATGCAAGAGCTGAACTTGTTAACCTGTGAAGTTTTGCTAGCTCTCTCGACAGAATCGACCAACGGGTCATCTAGAATTGTCGAAAGAGCAGCAGAGGAGTACTTGGGAACTTTTCGAAGGAGGTTCCGGCGCGTAAATCCCAATTGAGGTCGAATCATGGAGACCGCTTCATCAAGGAAAAAGTTTGCTTCGTAGTAAACCTTTACTAAGAAGAATACCCATTTATAAAAAAGGATGAAATATGATTTTTAAAAGAAATTTGAGATAAATGACCAAATTTGAATGGGTCTAGTCGATGTAAGTTGAAAACATCCTAATGCCACTAGGAAAGAACCCTAGAGGGAATAAAGGGGCGGTCTAAATGACGCACTTTAGTAGGTGACTTTTTCCCTGCTAACGTGCTCCCCCGCCTAGTTTTTCATGGCGAAGAAGAAGAATATCAGAGGCAAGAGAGTTCAGAGCAATGAAATAAGAGATTCTATCTTCGTTTTTTCTCCTTCAGTTGTGCTCAAGGCTGGAGCTTCTTCATCTGAAGCTGGAGCTTCTTCATCTGAAGCTGGAGTTGAAATCAATGGAACAGTTTCCTCTCTAATCCAACAGGAAATGGAGAGTACTGATCCTAAGGGAGCTAAAAAGAAAATGCTTATGGAGGAGATTCTTGCTAGATCCAATCCACTGACAGCCCCTCAGTCCCCTCAAATGAGATCTGGTGTGATGATTTCTCGTCGTTTAGGTAAAACACATATCTCTGATCTATGGTCTAATCAAGTTGAAGATATTTCTGATTCAGATCTAAATAAGATTGCTGAGGATAATGTCGAAGTAAATACTCGACAAATGATGAATGATAATATTGTTGATACCAGTATTGTTCTAGAGGAAGAAAGTAAAAAGGATACTGATGCTGAAAAAAGTTCCAGATCTGAGAAATCTAGATCTGAAGATTCAAGATCCTTTGCTAGCCTTTTTTCTAAAAATAGAAAACATGGTAATGGATTATCATTAAAATTTGTTCCATCTTCGCAAACTAATGATGTTTCTTTCACTGAGAAAGAATGGAAAGAAGGAGAGGAACTTTGGAAATTTGCTCTAATAGGACATGTTATTGGATTAAATGTTACGTTTAAATCTATGGAATCATATGTCAACAAGACTTGGGGGAAAATCTCTATTCCAAAAGTTTACTTAATTAAACAAGGTGTCTTTCTCTTTGAATTTACTGTTGAAAAACAGATGAATGAAGTATTAGAGGCAGGGCCATGGTTTTTTAGGGCCAAGCCTTTGATTTTGAAGCAGTGGAATATTGATACTGATATTGAGAAGATTCAAGGTTGCAGCTACCCAATGTGGATTCAATTCCCAAATTTAAAACTAAATTTGTGGAGTTCTTCAGGAATTAGCAAGATTGCTAGCCTTATTGGTAACCTCATTACTACCGATAAACTTACTGCTTTGAGACAGAGACTATCTTATGCCAGAGTCCTGTTAGAAGTTGATTTGCCTCTAAGAGAGCCACTGCCAGACCAAATAGTTATAAAAGGGCCTGATGGGAAAAGTTATATACAAAAAGTGGTCTATGAACTAAAGCTACAATGGTGTGCAAACTATAAATTGATGGGACATAAAACTGAACAGTGTAGAAGAAATGTTGTTAAAAAAAATCTGGGTTCAAAAATCAATAGGAAACATACATGCACAAACAGTCCAGAAAATACTTGTTATAGGAAACCCTGCACAAGATGAATTGAAATTTCCCTTACCTGAAAAACATGAAGTGTTGAGGAATGCTACATCTATTCTTCTATCAGATAAGGGAGAAACTTTGGCTGAAAAACATGCACAAGACAAAGCTACCATGTCTAGGTGTGGGTTATCTGTTCAGCAAACTCATGATGTTGCTAGTTGTGGAATGCAAAGTCCTTGTAAGCAGAAATAGTATTGCCAGAAGATCTAAAATGAATGTTGGTGATATTATCACCCATAATCAAGCTTCACAATTCTCTTCGCTGGATCATTCAGATTATCTTTTTGACCCCTCAAATGTTGATAGGGGGAAATCATAATAAATATGCAATTAGCCATCTGGAATGTTAGAGGATTGAACAAATCCTCTAAACAAATGATAGTGAAGCAAATAGCCCATGAATATAAGCTTTCTTTCCTTGCACTACTGGAAACTAAAGTTCCTAGCAGTAAGATGCAAATTATTGCTAAGAAAATGACTAGAGATTAGGACTAGATCTCTAATGCTCAACAAACAAATAGAGGGAGAATATGGATTCTTTGGGATAATGATGCTTTATATGTTCAATGCATCTCCTCCTCTGAGCAATTTATTACATGCAATGTCTCTTCTAAGGATGGCAAGTTTTCCTGTATTGCTACTATTGTATATGCTCTAAATGATCAAATAGGCAGGAGAACTCTATGGCATGATCTATCAATGTTCAAGCAAGGTGTTAACTGTCCGTGGATTGTTGGTGGAGATTTCAATGCTATCATTAGTAATGAAGAAAAATTGGGTGGATCTCAAGTATCTGAATCTGACACTGAAGACTTTCAAAATTTTATTGAACTGAATCAGCTTTATCATCTCAATGCTACTGGATGTTTTTTCACCTAGTGCAATAAACAGGATGCAAATACCAGAATTTGGAGCAGATTGGATAGGATTTTGGTAAATGAGGAGTGGATTCTAAAATACACCTCTAGTCAAGTTGATTTTTTAGTGTCAAACTGTTAGGTCTCATGTTATGAGCCTACATCTTCTAATTTTGTTTTGATGATTACAAACAATTCCTAATATTGTTTGTCTAATGTTTGTGTTTCTTATTAGGTATTCTAGACAAATAACGATATTGGAGGATGGATGGAATTGAGCTTCAACGATCATATCTAATGGAGGTTGGCGAAATATCGGTATGAAGCCATTGTACATCAAGTCATATTCAAGATCAAGCTTCATCTGCAACCAAGTCGAGCTTATTGAAGATCATATCATCGCTTGGTATATTAGTTTAGGTTTTATATTATGTGTGTTAAATACTTCAAACTCAATCATATACACACATACACATTTTGTTTATATATATATATATGTAGTTATATATATATACAAGTTTATATACGCAAGTTTTGGTTTTATGATTTTCAAGTTTAAATATGAAACAAATACTTTTTTATATACATATATACATGTTTCATAGTTAACATGTTTGGTTTTGATAAACAATATGTTTTGTCACAAGGGGGTAAGAATTCTTATCAGAACTTGAAGATTGACTTCAAGGTAAAGATTCCTGTTTATGATGGGAGTGTTGACGTCGAGAGGCTTGATGACTGGATCGAGCGGATGGAGACGTATTTTACTCTTTATGGCTATTCGTCAAAAGAAAAGATTGTGTTCGCGACTTTAAAGCTTTCAGGGCACGCGTTGACGTGGTGGAAATCCTACTGCAAGCAGGAGAAGAAGACGGTGTCGTGGAACAAGTTTAAGGAGTTACTGAGGAAGCAGTTCAACCCGATGGGATTCCTTGAAGAGCGTTGGTACAAGTGGTACGGCTTATGCCAAAGGGTCAATCAAACCGTTCAAGAATACACCACGGAGTTCCAGCAGCAGGCGATGGTCCTCAACATTGCGGCAGAGGAATATTCCGTGTTTATGAAGTATATGGCGGGATTGAGCGATTACATCCGAAATGAGATGAAGCTATTCATGGTAGAATCAATTGTAGAGGCGAGCGTGAAGACTATTGCCCTCAAGGGCAAGCAAAAGAAGGGCAACGAGGCTAAGGGAGACTCTAAACAAACGGGAGGCGAGTCTAGTGGTTCTCAATCTAAGGAGAAGAAGAAGAAGGGTGATCTAGGGAAGGCAGGGCAGATTTGTAGTCACTGCGAAAAGACAGGGCACACAGCTGATCAGTGCTGGGAGAAGTATCATCATCTCAAGCCAAGAGGGTTAAAGAAGAAGGAGGAGAAAAATACATACATGATAGCTCAAGGTCCGAAAGAAGTCCCGGGGATGACAGAGCCCAACAGCAGTCTTAACCTTATGACGAGGAAGCAGACCACAAAAGAGGACAACGACCCGAGAGAGCAACTCTTTGTTCTTAAGTTGCAAGTGAAGACCAGTTTGGTTGATGCCATTGTTGATTCGGACAGCGAGAAGAATTTGATATCCGAGGTATTGGTTCAGAAGCTGGGTCTGAAGACGGTCAAGCATCTGAAACCCTATCCATTGGGGTGGATTCAGAAGGATGAGAAACTGAGTGTAGTTGATCAATGCACTGTCAGATTTGCGCTCCATGAGTCTTATATTGATGAGGTTACGTGCGACGTCATTCCATTAGATGTTTGTCAGATTATATTGGGCAATCCGTGTTAGACCCTAGAGGGGGGGGGGGGGGAATTAAAAATAATTATCAAGTTATCCTAGCAAGTATGAAATACAACAAGATATATGAGCTAGGATAAGCAATATGAACAATGAGATATATCCTATATGATGAAATATATATGCAAGGATATATAAACTAACACAAGATGATATATCCTACCAAAGAGATATACAATATGATATATGCAAGGATATATAAACTAACACAAGGGTAAAAAATATAAACAAGATAGTGGATGAAATAAATGAGCAATGCACAATTAGCGATATAAGATAAATGCAAAAACAAATACGCCAAAGATAAACTCAAACAAGCAATATGATCACGGAGTTCGGACTTTTCGTCCTACGTCTCCGCTCCCCACTCCCGGGGAAAAATCCACTATCACAACCGGGTTTTCTATGCTCACCCGAATAACGTTTACAACCACACTATGTCGGTTTTCAACGATCACCGATCAACGTACACTCCT